TTTGAGTTTTCCCACTTGCCTATGCCTCCAACTCATGACTGGACTTCAAGGGCTTCAGTGTGGAGTTGGTTTATTGGTCTCATCTGCCCCAGATATAACTTTATGACAGAAGTATGTTTAGCTTCAAAGCCTTGTCTGACCCCAAACTCCAAACCAGTTCTCTGTTTGCATACCAAGCTGCCCGCAATGTAATGTGGGCCAACGTGTTAACAAGACTCAAAGTTGCCATATCTTGACACATTAACGTACTTTGTGTGTGTACAATGGCCCGAAGGGAGTTCGGTCGGAGCATTCATGTAAAAAGCCAATGCTTTAATCACTATATTTTTAGAAATGCCGTTCCCAATATTCAGGACAAAAAAAAGACAAGAGTCTGATGGATTCAAAATATACCACACGTCCTCCAAACTGAGGCCACAGGCGAAGCCTTTTGAGGGACTGCATTCCATTGGGTCACTGAGGAATGTGGACCCAGTCGCTTGCCACAACAAACTTGTGTTATCGGATCATTTGGCCGTCCTGAAGTTCTAAACAATGGCGGTCCGAGCGGTGGTTTGGCATAGACCAACTTTGGGGCGCATGGCATAATTCTATCTCTATTCCTCCTCTGGAGATCTGAGAAAGTTACCGTCCTGCGGTGTTTACTGACGAAAGAACCCTGCTAAATGGAGCTGTGGTTCACCGATCTGTAAATATGGCCCTTGCCAGCCAAATTGTTCCCCTTGTTGACAGTGGTTTGGGCCCAAATTGCTATGCTTCCCTTGGGGGTGGTTTGAGACCCGACAGGAGGGTAGTTAGACAAAATAGATAATGTATATCCACTGCTGACACTCAGTTGGCAGAGGTAGAGAGAAAGGGAACGAGATGGATGGATGCTCCCAAAATAAATGAACAATAGCTGTCCAAAAAGAGTCTTCTTCAATCAAAGCAGAGACAGCCAGAAGGCTACTATGTACTTTTTTGCGTCTGAGTTTGTGTGGACAGCCACGAAATAATCAATTTTATCCACAATTTCTCAAGAAATCTGCACAAAATTTGATTCATTTTTTATTTGCAAAGGGACAATGTGCAATGTGCATTGATCAACATTTCGGCAGCCCCTTTGCCTGATTCATTATTTAAGAGAGAATGTTTATTCTTGTCCATACTTAGGCCACGTGATGAATACTGAGACACTTCCATCTGCTGATGAAGAATATCAGATGCATTCAAAGCCCCAGAACAAGTTGATAAGTAGGCTTTTTTTGTAAAAAGAATTGAGCATAATGTGTTGTTTTAGTTGTCTTGGTGCAGGATTTCATGTTAGATCCGAAGGTGAGTATTTTCTGAACAACAAATTTACAACTAAATATTTTGTTATCATCACAGACCAACATCTTAGAGCAGGTGGAACAGTTTGTATGGATCCATCTTGCTTAAAGCCCTCTTTATTTCCCTGGAAATGTGTATTTTTGTAGCATAACTGATATCAATACTCAATATCCAGACATCATTTAGCTACAAATTTACTATGTTTGCATCCAGAAAAATAAATAGTTTCCATCACAAGTTGATAGAAAATTCCCATTTCAATTTCTATTTATAATTCATATCTTGTGCACGTAATCTCACAACGATTTTGGGGGGGAAAAGTCAGTGAAAGCATGAGTTATGTACTTTCTCAAAAAGCATGCATGTTAGTCGAGGTTATGTTGAATCTAGATATTCCCTCCAGATAACAGAAACCCTCACAACACCCTCACACCCACATACACATCAGCCTCACAACAGAATGACAGAGAAACAAGATAGTTCAGGGAAGCTGAAAAGATAAGTAAAAATGACAACACAAGAGAAGGGGAGAGTGGGTGAGTGAAACAGACAGCCAGACTTCAGGAGAGAGAGACCGACCGACAGAGAGAGAGAGAGAGAGAGAGAGAGAGAGAGAGAGAGAGAGAGAGATCTCCAGCAGTGCCAGCCGAAAAGAGGATCAAGGTGATTTTGGATGAGTTTCAGAGGTAAGCTGCAGTTAAAGCCCCTAGCTTGGACTGTTCACACGCAAATGCCAAACCCCACCGCACACACCATGAAACAGGAGACAACACTCAGGTGCTTGGTGACAGGAGAGAGGACAGCATCCACTGTTTACAGTTTGTTTCAAGAATGCAAATGTCGTATTACATGCCGTATCCTTCCATCCTGTGGAGGACATTCACATATTTCTTTCCAACTAGTAATTACTGAAACTGTAAACTTACTTCTGTGCACACCAACAGATGCTTTGGCTCTTCCTTTTTCTATGATCCTCCGTTATAACATTACCGCAAATGATAAATGATTAGCTACACATTAGCAAGACAAAGGGACACAATGGGAACAATATATCCTTGCAACACATGCAGCCATATTTGCCTGGACATTCAAATGAACGTGCATCGCTGAGCCCGGGCGTGTAAAGACTAGGCTGAAGTTTGGTTGGTGCAACCAATGTAAAGTCCATTCTAAAGACTGGTCTTAACAAAGACCAATTTAGCAGTTAGGGCCAGGCTTGGTAAAGACTAGTTGGATGGTGCGACCCGCAGGTGACCAGAAACACGACTCTAAATGAACGCTACTGCTGCTCTGGGTCTGCTGGATGAGTGAACAGGCAACTGTTTGCTAACACGTTCACTATCAACTTTTCACCGTCACCGTTGTGGTTACCGCTTATTAGGCTGCCAAAAAAATAAACCAATTTAAGTTTGATATTGCCTATAAGTATACCTTGTCAAACCAGCCCTTTCTCATTCCCAGGGGCAGGACCTCAACAGGCCTCTATCCAATACTTGGACCAAAAGAAGTTTGCACCATGCTTCCTTTAGAAGATTACCTGCATGTAAAGTGTTGCAAAATGACATGCTAATAGTTTTAGTTATACGAATGACACACAACCTGATGTATTGTGTATTGAGTGTCTTTGTGACTTCAGATGAGTTAACAGACATTGATTGGAGTCTTCTGGTCTTTAAACCTAAATGTTTAACATGGCGATAGCCTCGTAATCACTGCCAGCCTCGAATCGGGCCATTTGACCCATCTTCTGTCTGTTACTCACCCTTCAGTCATTACAGGAAATGAAAGTGAACAATCCAACTAGCTTCTCTTGCTCTCACTTTCTTTCTCTCTGTTCAACCCCTCTATCTGGCACTGGGTTCCAATGTTTATGCATTTACTGAGATTGCTGGCGGGATTGTCAGAGAAAAAGGAGGGTTTATATATTTTTTTCTCTCTTTCTTTTTTTCTGTGCAATCTCTTGCCTTCAGAAACCATTAATGCCCATTCAACATCAACATCAAGGCACAGCTTTGATGTCTATTCTGGCAACAGACCTCTTTCTTTTTCAGCTGCCTGCTGCTCTCTCTCTCTCTCTGTCTCTCTTCTTCTCTCTATCCCCCTTTATCCCTTCCTCTTCCTTGCGCTCACTCTTTACGGTTACTGTACAATCAAATAATTAAACGGATTGTCGACAAAATGATTTTACCTGGCAATTAAATATGCAAAGCGAGTCGGCAAGCGGTGTATGGGAAGGCGATTAAAAAGGGGGCCCACTGCAAATCTACAAAGGCTTCACCGGCACAATAGGCAGCAGCCCCTGCCTGCCGTGCACACTAGCTTAGCCTGGGGAGTGACTGGTGCCTCTTTTATACCAGTCTCACACAGCTATGTTTACAATAGCCCAAACCATGCTATGCCAATTAACACAATGCAAGGAGAAATGAATGCCACTATTCGGAGCAAAGACAGGGATGAAGGTAGCGGCGTATGGGACATAAGGCGTGTATGGGGGGGGGCGTATGCTGCCAATGAAATCAAAGTTAAACCACAGAAATGTTCCCCATTGATGAGAAGACACAGTGAAAGAATTCTGTGCTTCAAATCCAAATGTAAGTTTGAGGAGTCAAAAGTCATGTTTCAGTGAAAGCAGGAACTTCAGAACCTGTGTATAACCTGCATTGCACTTCAACAAAGCACCTATTAGGACTGCAATGCTACAGAAAGGCTGAGAGAAGACTGTGGGGGGGGGGCCCGAGCTCTGAGCTCCTGATGTGCAAGAGAGGGAATGCGACATTCAATGTACATCTATCAACGCTACGGTGGGGAAAAAAAATGCAAGCAATTTTCCTGGATAGGTTTCCCTTCAAAGCCGGAGCCCCAAGAGGCTGTAAAAATAGAGTTGGGGAGAGGCGGGGAGTGTGGGGGGTGGAAGGGTGGAGGGCTATACCTGCCCCGTTCCACAGTTCAACAGAAACTAGCTGGTTCAGCCTGATTAAACCCTCCTCATTGTCAGGCTAAAAGCATGGAGGAATTGATTTTAAGGTTTTGGGGAGTATGTAATGCATTGATCATGTGTTGAAGTTTCACCACACTGTGCCTTTGATGAAAAGAGTCCGGGAAATTAACCTGCTATTTGTGGTGTTAAAAATACAAACTGTTCAGGGATGGCTGCAGTAAAATAAATTTTGAAGGTGAAAAAGGAGGTGTATGCTTTAAGAAAGAGAAAAACCTACAGTATCTGGTAGATGTGACAAGCATTGGCGGCTTGTCTGTTTTTTCTCCTCTTGTTTTTGCCTTATTGCCAGGAACAGCTACCAGGGGAGAAAGAAATGAGAAAATCATTTTGTGGGAAGTGAAAGCTTGTCAGTAATGACTGCTGTTATCTTTGTTATGTGGCTACCTCTGCTTTTCGCCAATTGCAAGTCTCTTTTTATGTCAACAATTTGAAGTGAGCCATACAAGTGAGTGAGTCTGCACGCAGCAGACAGCGCGTACTCCCCACCACTGAATTATTCCCCCCCCCACTGCTGAAATAAAGCCAGATAATTGAGGCAAACATGGCTATAGGCCCTCTAATAGGGGATGCAGTCTGCTTCATTAATGTTTGTGTTGACTGTCAGAGTATGCGCTGGTCCTCATTGCTCTTTAATAGGACCAATTAGCCGATGCCCCCGTTTCCATGCTTAATGTCTCCCATTTAAGTGCTGTATACAGTGCTGAATACTGAAGGCGCACATTTAACCACTGAGGGACTGTAACACATCAAAAGGTTACAGGCTTTAAGTGATTTCTGTTTACGCAGTGAATTAACAGCTTGCATTCACAAATTTAAACTTCCATTATTTTTCCGGCACAAAGACAGGTTTTTAAGGTTGTGAAACTCCTGACTGTGTGATGCGACTACAAGACTTATTTTCATTCATCACCTGTCCACCTTCAATCTGTGCTGTGGTATGATCATAGCGCTGCTGTACCGCTTCAATGGGGATGGCGCTAACATTTCGTGTTCTTCATTACTGAGAAAGACGTGGAGGTTATACAGAAAGCTGGTAACTGTCAAGAATAATTCACGTAAGTATTTAATAACAGTACATACTGCCCTACTTAGCAAATTCTGTCATTTTCAATAGATAGGCTATCATTTCACTGAAGCATGGGGTGTCGTGTGATGTTCACTATTCAATATTTCTTCAAATTTAGCTAAAGTGTGGCATTTACAATTAAACAGCTGATATTGATGCATTTGGTTGGTTTTATCAGACTGATACTTTTGAGATAATATTTTGGCTTTTTTCCCAGCAGGAGAGGATATAACACACAAGAAAAGGTCTCTGCCCAGAATCATATAGGATGTTCCAATTGTATGGGACTTCTCTAAGGCCTCGTTCAGACTGCCTGCCCAACATTTCTTTTGCATATCCAGATTGTATCCAGACTGCTTTAGTCTGGATATAATCAAGAATGCAAGTCTGGACAGCAAAAAAAACACGACAAGTGCAAGAAGAATTAAGACCATATATGTAGATTTTCCATTCGTTTTGCTATTCAAAACTTTTCACAATCCCTGGTAACGCCTGGGGGTTTGCTAATACCTGGAACAATCATTACCATCCCATAAGGTTCTTATGCTATGGAAACGTTGGTCACTACTCCAGTAAATAGGACGAACCTTAGATACGACATGGCAACATGAACATAAAGTCTGTTTTACTTGAGCCAGAAATATTTATAATCATTTAAAGTCATTAACATTGCATGCAGTTGAATAAACAAAAAGTATAATTTGAAAGTATGTTTAACAACAACATTAGCCAATCGAGGATTCAGCCAGACCATGATATAAGACAATGTATCGTGATGACATTAGAAGTGCAGTGAAAACCATTGACAGCTTATTCTAGACAATCAAGAAAGAAGCAAATCCAGACACAACAGCTTTCATTTGAAAAATATAAAACTTTAATAAAGGCTACATCTCTCAATAATTACAATAATTATAGGTCCATGTAAATCTTTAAATGAAACTCTTTATATAATGTATAATTTACAGTTTAGATATAATGAAACAAAAAAAAAGGCCGTGGTGTAAAAACAAAACATGATTACAGGATATTATTAAAAGCATAAAAATATCTTTTCAACATAAAACCCTTCTGAAAACCAAGGGATATATATTAAAACCCTGAAACAGGGTAGCACATGGTATGGCATCCATGTAGGCACAGGTGCTGTACTCATAAAACACCAGAGATACTGTGTGTGCACTGTGTGTGTGTGTGCATCACGTGTCAGTATCCGTACTTCAGAATGCATAATTACAATGTATACAGGAGCTCTGCTATATACGATGTTACTGTAACAACATTCATAGGATATTGGAGCCATAATTCTTCAATGTTCTGTTTTCTTTTCTTGTGTGTCTTTTGACACACTAGCTGACTTCCGTTGAGAAGTCATTCTCACTTGTTCTTGTTAGCAAAAGTTATTTTAGTGTGCGGGCTGTAAACACTGCCATTATTAGATGGTACAGCTTGTGCTCCAGGTCTCCTCTGTGTGTATCTGCAACTGTTTTCACCCCCCTACCCTCGTGCAATGCCTGGTTCACAAACAAAGGCACAACAAAAAAGATTGAGCTCTGTCACCGGACTGAGGGGAAAAAGAGAGGGAGGGGGAGAACGAGGGAGAGGAAATACTAGTGTGACAAACATTACAAATTATCAGCAGCATATAAGACTGGGATTGACCATTAGAATAGAGGAGGGAGTGCGCCTCAGACACGACCACTGCTAAGGTTGTTAGTTTGGATCAGACAGGGCTACAAGGCGATGGGAGGTGCTAGGCTAGTGTCACATCCTTTGTGTAAAGTAAAAACAGACAAAAACAAACACTTAACAATATCACCACAGTATTCTCCCAACATTCAAAGCAGCTTGCCCATTGGCTGGAATAGGGAGGGGGAGGGACACAGGATTTTAAAAACAGGGAAAAGAGTGGGTTGGGTTTTTTTTTTTCAATAAATACTTAAAAACTTTCAACTCAAGACAAAAAGCATCTCTATATATAATACATGTATATATACATATATGCATGTATGTATATGCACATGTACAGACGTTTTTGTAACGATGTTGGAGTGTAGCGTTAAGAGCAGGTTGGTGGAGCCGTGTCTTCAGCGCCTGCTAGTCCGTTGCACTTGGCATGAATGCACCATCAGTTGCTCATCACATCACAACAAAACAGTCATCTATATCTTCAGTGGTTATATTCAAGAAGAGGCGGGGTCTCCCCCCCACTGGCCTCCAATCATCTTCATCATCGTCATCATCCTTGTATTGGTCTTTTTAAGTCTCTCGTGTCATTCCCTTGTGTTTCTAAGGCTGATTGGTTGATAAAGTCAGGGAGGGGCGGCACCTCCTCTGGGTTCGACATACTTCATTGGCTCGTCTTCCTTCAAACACTCCTCTTGTGCTGGATATATTAACTCTGTTTAGCTTAATATTAAGAAATAGAAGAAAAAACAAAACAAAAAACAAAAACAGGAGTCCAGAGTATTTTTTGTTAATTACAAAGAGTCTCTTGCTCAATTTTTTTTTTTAGGGACAGTTTAGCTTTTGGTTGGGCGGGGAAGGGCGTTGGTTGGGTTGTTGGATGGCAACAAAGTGGCTTTTAGTCCATTTTCTCCACCTTGCCCAGGACCTTGCCCTCATACATGGGCAACACGGTGGCGTCCTCCCACACCTCCTCGAACACGGCACCACACTCAAACTCATTACTGGCTTTCTTGAAGTAGTACCTACGGAGGACAAAACAAAGAGAGAGGCCCGTGATTAAAAAATGTTGAGCGTAGGTGTACCTGGAAAAAACAACAAAAATTTAACTCAAATGAAAACTGACAGAGTGGCAGCAGGACTGCATCTGATGCATTTCCTCGTGTTTTAAACCGCTTTGAGGCACCTATACAAGTACTTCCATTTACATGCTCGCGCACAACTCCCTTTAGTCCAAATCAAACACAAACACACACACACTCTGTGAGCCAGAAATGGATCCTGCGCAAAACAACTTAGTCATAGCCTTCAATGCCATCCCTGCACACTTCAAAGGCAGAGCCCGACTCCACATCACACCGCTGCACAAACAGAGCTGAACCCTCCGTTTAAACACTCCCTGTGATAATTCCAGCTGCTAGAAACAGCCCGTCTGTGTGTGTGTTCATCCATGTGTGCTTGTCTCCTCATCCACTGCTGACCATTCTACAGATGCATATCTGTCCTGCAAGGTCTTATTAAAGTTGAAGGGTTAATTACAGGCTGTCTTAAGGCCCCCCCCCTCCTCTCTCTCTTCAGCAGTGACCCTCCCTTTCTGTGTCTCCATGGCTTCTAATTGGGCTGGCTGTCAAATGAAGGGCCTTTCTGTCACACAGGTTGGCATTTCAGGTGCCTGAGAGTCTGCCTGTGACTGCAAGAACACACTCCGCTGCTTGCATATAAACACGGCCTGTGTTTCTCTCTTATCCACTCGCCATCCCAGACACACACATACTTCGGGCAGCTTTCCGATCACCAGCGGAGAACAGAGGAAAAAAGAGGGGAGCGGGAAGGGAAGAAAGCGCAGGGGGGGCAAGCGCAGGCCTTCTCTGGCTCGGTGAGTGGGTGTGATAGGTTGGATGTGGGCCGAGCCTGAGGGGCCTTACCCTGGGAGGGGGGGGGGGGGCGACCGCTCAGACAGTCTCCTGGAGGTCACAGGTCACCTAGCTAGCCCACTCTTCTTCTCTCAAGCAGAGATAACTCCCAGGGTTAGCTTGGTCCCAGTGACTGTGAAGTCTCCTGGAGCTCCTAATGATTTCTCCTCTCTACTTTCAACCCAGCAAAAGATCAGCGGGAGGGGATTTAATGATAAGCTTTGTAATGGAAAAATGCCTCATTTTGCCCATGTGTGCCTGCGTTCAGAATACAAAAAAAAGAAGAAGAAAAAGGGAGAATAAAAAAGCTGTTTTATGAGCAATCGCTCAGCTTAGAGTCATTTATACAACACATGTACGGAGGGGCGTACAAAAACGTACACATACAGTTTTATTTGCCATGTTGATTGTAATTGCACACAAACGAAGGAGGAGGTTGCGTTACCACGGCTGCAAGACTTTCTACTGAAGTGTGCAGCAATGTGTCGGAGGGGTGATGGCTTTGTTTAATGATATGGCATTTCAGCAAAGCTTCGACAACAGATAGAAGCTTTAGCTTTAGCCTTTTCATCTTCATTAGTAGAAACCAAATAAATGCATTACCCTTCTCAATTTAATTGGCTGGATTTTATTTTCCAGGAGAGAATGCTTTATTTTCACTCACAAATAGTTCAAAGTCATCACTTTGTTTTCGGAGAGTGAGACAGAGAGTGACAGAAGGAGTCTTACTATTGGAACATGTTTTATGTGGCAGGATTTTTCTCTCTTTGCAACATCTGGCACTAATATTGTCTGGCAGAGCTGCAGCATACTGTTCTCCACTGTACCGCTGCCATGTCCAAATTAACCAACTCCACACATTCTGCTGTCATTGAAGCCAGACGCTTCATCCCCACCTCCCCCTTCTCATTCGCTCGCTGAAGAGTTATGGGATAGCAGCGGTGCAATGACTTGTTTGCAGGCCTTCTCTCTTGCCTAACAAGCAGATGTGGCTGTAACCTAATGCTGATGTCATGGGCATGTAGGTCTTGTGTCTTTTCAGTGGCATACAACCTATGCCGCACTGGAACAGTTACTCAATAAAGCCTGGACATCCTGATTGAAAATGTCATGTGATGTTTTAAATTAGTCCTTACTTTGTTTAGTAATTCCCCCTCATCTGCTGACATTGACAGGAGGTATTTTTGGTTTGTTACCTGCAATCAGTCATTAACAGAAGACGGTGCTTGCGGCATTTGATTTTAATGCCTGATGCAATAGTGTGGAGGAGGAATTTGAAGGCCTCGCAATGGTCTTTGTGCACAAAATAAAAAGGCCCAGTCTTCAAAGCCATATTTATTAAGGCTGCCTTACCATGGAAATCAGTACCAGATGTGGGAAAAAAAATTCGCTCCCCCCCCCTCTGTAAGCTCTGAGCATAGCGGATCAGCCCAGTTTCTTTTCAACTATCAGGCTCCAGTATTTCACACTGCCACTCAGCAGACAAGCATATACAAGTACAATAACAAATGCACATACACACACAGATAACTAATCCTGCTCCAGCACCACCCTCATTCAAACAGGTGTGAAGAAATATCTATCCGAGTATGAGCCAGTACTGTGATTTGTGTGCCGTCAGTGGTTCATAATTACCGGTAGTTGCCTTTCTTGCTGAGCTGTTCCTTGAAGTGTCCCAGGTTGAGGCAGTGGGTCTTCATCACACTGCGATAAGGAATCTCCTCACCACAGAAGAAGTAGGTGATCATTAGCTCTTTAGACCTGAAAATGCAAAAATGAAAACTGGTGTCAAACAGTTGCACTTGTAGGAGAAGGAGTCACATTGTTGAATGTAGACAAAGAGAATAATTAATTAAGGATGCCAACAGACAGCTGGCTCACCCAAGGGTCAAACAATTAAAACTAAAAGAGGCCTCACAGTCAGGTGGCTGTAGCTTATCATCAAATACTCAACCCATTCAACAACAAATATACAAAGGGGGCCAATGAATTTGGGTTACCAAGGGCTACTTAACACATCTTTGTTGGGTTCCAGTGGTAAGTGTGTGTGTGTATTGGGAGACGGGTGGGTAGTTAGGATTCCGTATTAAAGCATGTTTAATCTTAAATGATTAAAAAGCAAGCGAAGAGGAGTTCAAAGACATAGCTATGCTGACTCACAACATCTCTCTTTGAAGGGGAGAGCGAGAAAATCTGTGAAGAAGAGGGTATAAAACACAAGCTCGGAGAGGAAAACCTAAAAAAAAAGTGTCTAAGTGTATGATAAATGAAATATGAAAAGCTTAATAGCTAGAAAGCAATTGAGAAAGAAATGAAGAAACGTTGAGCTGTAGAAAGAAGCTCATACTCGTCTGCTTGGAGTCCGGGGCTTGCTAGCGGGCTGCCTGAAGTGGGGAAGGCTGCTGCTGGGTGGCTCCTGTCTCTCTGAAGGCTGCTGGCTCCTGTTGAATGCCTGTTAAAATAACAGACATCAATGACCAATCAATAATCACATCAATAGGAAGGAAAACCACTAAACTGAACTGGACTATGCAAAACAGTGTATTCTAAATGTGGTCAGTGAAATGTGGAAGATGGGGAATATGTTGGCAGTTTTGGTTCTATATGTAAATCTGTGTGTACCTTTGTTTCGGTGGCTTGGAGACCTCTTCTAGTCTGCGGCAGGCCTCCTCAAGCTGTGCCAGGGTGTTAGGTGGGGGCAGGGGTGGCATGGCCGGGTCCTGGATGAACGGGTGGCCTGGGTGATGGCCACGGAGGTGAGCCCCACTGCCAATGCCGCCTCCACCCCAAGAGGAGTGAGTCCGACCAGGCAGAGTCTTGGAGTCAAGCGGGTTGGACTTCTTTAGGCCTTGAGTGCTGTTAGGATAGAAACGGCCAACGTGAGCTGGGAACTCGAGACAGAAATGAGGATGTGGCGACTCCTGACCGAAACTCACCTGTGTGGCTTGTGCTTGCCCTGCCTCTCACTCTCTAGGATCCACTGCCAAACATTCTGAGAGCGGTCGGTGGCATCTAGGGGAAGACGTGGCGAAGACACGCCCTCGTCGGTGTCTTTGACTGGTCGTCTGGACAAAGTGCTGCAACGACTGGAGGAAGAAGGAGAGGCAAGTTAGGATCATGGAACAGCTTTACCACGGGGACAATTTTTAAAATCTAAGGTACTAAGGGCTAATGCACTAAGTTGACTGACAACTAGTGTCAGCGGAGTTTAGAAGTTACACTCACGCAGGGATGAAGTCGGAATAATTGGCGCCCCCTGGAGGGCAGAGGCACTGCACGCGCTGAGCCGCCTCGGCCTCAATCTGCTCCTTGGTCTTGACGCCAGCGTGGTGGTGGTGAATGTAGTGGTGGTGGATGTGCTTAGTGGACTGCTTGCCTGTCATCAGAGCCTTGGCGGCCCCAGGATAAGCACCAAAGAAGGGCCCGTGGCCAGAGGACACCAAAGCATCTGTCCGATCTGGGGAGCGTGAGCACGGTGAGTGCCGAACCACACCTGGTGACTGGCAGCCAGGTGTCTTCAGTACACGGGATAGGTGCTCGTCCAGGATCGCCTGGGGGTCTTCCTCGCATTGGCTGCCAGATGGGAAAAGAGGGTGATGGAGGGACGTGCTGCTGGTGAGCTCAACGCTCTCCTCCCTTTCCTCCTCCTAGACAAAGAAAAGAGTAAAAAAGTTAAGGCGATTGAGAAAACATTCATACACAGTCACATGTGGAAAAGGCAGCAAGCCGAGGAATTCATGTCTCAACTTACACCAACTTATATCTTTCGTCCTCTGAAGTCAGTGAGAGCAAACGCCTGGATAACTTGATTTGAGTTTCCTTTTTGCCGCACTGTTATCTTCGCTAACAGGCTTTGGGTGCGCTTCATCTATAATGCAGAGTGTGCCTGTGCTGCACAAAGAGACTGGCACTACACATACTCAGCAAACGTGCCACTGGAGAGTATCTAAGTGCTAACTATTTGAAGGAGCTTCAAGTGTGTCTAGAAATATAAGTTTGAAAGTTCCTCCAGATGAAGGAGTGGAGGACAGAGAGGAAAAGGGAAGAAGCAGCTAAACCAAGACAGACTTTCAAATCCCTTGGTCTTTCCCCTGTTCTTCGACATACTAAAGCTGGCATAAAGGCTTTTGTAGTGCGATATGGAACTTGGATACAAGTTAGAATTTCCAAGTGGTAGCCAAGCTTAATATTGGTGGAAGTGTCAGGCTGTTGAGAACAGGTTTGTGTGCATCCGTACCTCCTGGATCTGCTGCAGCCTCTCCTCCAACGAGCTCATGGTGTCCTGCTCTCGCTTCAGCTTCTCCAGCCGCGATATGAGCTGGGCAGCAAAGGCTGAGGGCTCAACAGGGGTCATCTCCTTTGGTAGCCGATGTGTCCTCTGCAGGATAAACAACACAGGGGGAAGGACAATTTAGTGTCTGTGTGTGCGACAGTGTAACTGCGTAGTGTTTTTGACGGACGCAATATGTTGCATTAATCCACCGTCCTATCTCGTTCCAAAAAAAGCCTGCTACTATTCCAAAAGGCCTAATCCAGATGCCCTTGCCCTCGAGCTAACCTGAACCTTCTCCGCCGCCCATCCCTCCCCAGATCTTCTCATACCCAGTGCCCTTGGCGGTGCCAGGCTGGTGGGTGAGGAGGAGAGAAGGGGGTAGCGATGGCGGGGTAGCAGTTGGTCTCGCTCGGAGGGGAGGCCCCCTGCCTGCACCCTCTGTAGCCCGACCAAGCCATCAGCTAGGCAGCCTCTGAAGTCAGCAAACTTCAAAGGGCCCTTGTCAAACATCAAACGCACACTAGGGGTGGGAGGGACACGCGGCTTTAAATCTCCGAATAAAAGCCAGATATCGACAGAGAAGAGAGTGAGGAGAGGGGAATAAAAAAAAGGGGAGAGGGGGACAAAATTAACAGCATGAAAAAAGAGGGAGAGGATTGAGATGTGCATTGGTAAAGTGGCAATGGTGGCAGAGAGAGAGAGTGAGACAGAAGGAGGGAAAAGAGGGAGGGAGAGGATAGAGGAGTCAAATACTGGGAAGATCTGAGGGGAAGTAGTAATTTATTTCCCGGCTGCATGCAGGGCAGCTCAGAGGTACTCTAGTCACATTATCCTCCTTTTTCTTTAACTATATGCACCGGCTTCTCTCTCTCCCTTTCTTACTTTTTTGTTATTTGGCACACTGGCTTTCTTGATTTTGACTCTTTTTTTGTTGTTGCTCTCATCTCTTTGTAGACACGATGAAGGGAAGAAGAAGAAAGGCAAGCAGAGCTGCTGGCAAAGGAGCGCCAGCCCTGCACGGGGCCCCTGCTGCCTGGGGCTGGTGCATCATGGGAGACAGAGCCATCTCCAAATCAGGAGGGAGACATTAAAGGAGTGCAAGTGGGAAAGGAAAAGAGAGAGAGAGAGAAAGATTGAGAGAGTGAAAAGACAGAGAGGAAGAGAGCCAAAAGGCGGAACAGACTGACAATTGCACAACTCTTCCATATACACATACCTGTGTTTGGATATGAAGACAAAAGAATTGAACTTTTCTTGCCTCAAACAGACTTTATAACCTGTGTCAATCTGTGATAACCCAGTTCTTTAAACCTTCAGCAGGTCAACAAAATCAAGAATTCAAAGCACATACGCCGTATGACCTAAATACTAATGGGACCAGATATCAGGGTGGGAGTAGACGAAAGTGGAATTGAATAGTAATTTGGCTCGTATTCATCTGCTGGGATGTAAACTGTAGTTTTAGTCAGTTGAAAGAGTAATCTTAACCATCACCATTAACACCGTATCAGTTATTGCCTATGCTATAACCACAGCTATCATAAAACATATGGAGCTATGATGCTGTGTGACATACTACAGTAACAGAGACGGAACACAAAGATGACAACACAAGTTTATATTTACATCCCTACAGAAGCTTCTGGGAAGAGGAGGGGGGGGGTTGAAACAGCAGCAGAAGAAGTGAAGTGGTATGCTAATCCTGCCTTTCATTTACCGTAGCTTTTATATGAAAATGAGCCGGGGAATGAAATATAGTATTCTGTCACAACATGAGCTCTGAAAAAAATAAAATAAAGCACAACTCCTCGAGGGAATCAGGACCCAGTTGTCTGTCAGTGTGTAAAAGTTTGAGTTTAGCAGATTACAAAAAAAGGAAACACTGAGACAGGAAGTAGAACTTAAGGAGGTAGGACTTACAGGAAAGTGGGGTAGCGTTATTTGGCCATTGATCTTGACACTGCGATGGATCTCTCGCTGGAGTTGCTTCTTAGTGCCCAGCTTATATGGAGGGATTCCATCTCTGTTAAAAAACAAAAAGATATTATATGTTAAAAAAAACACTCAAATGACTCTTATTTACAATTTATCTAGTTGGTTTTTTTTTCACCATTTACTGCAACTCATCATGCAGGTCACAGTACCTCCACACCAACTCTTGGTGCATTAGCACCATTAGCCAATCTTTGTGGAGAAAGAGCCCTTAGGAGACAGTTCATCATTGAAGTGACCGACACAACACCACTAAGTAACCACCCACTAGGCACATTACATCTAAAGCAAAAGGCCACAGAGCCCTTGAAGCCAAGTCAACAAAAACACACATAACAAAACACGCCAGAACAATGGTAGAGATATGCTAAACATCCCAGTGCGGGCTTCAAAAGAAGAGCCTCACCAATAAGATTACATCGGTGCTTGTCAACTCTGACAGCGGTTGTTTAAAAAGCAGACAAATTAGCGCTGAACTCAGTAGCCGATTAGGATCGGAAACTACAACAGGCTAGCGAATGCTGCTTAAGTTCTGCTGGCTTTGTAGCTCTGATAAATTAATATAAAACCAGAGATTTAGCTCGGAATTCAAAAAGTCTCCGGACAATTTAGCATTTATTCTCCATTTTTCATTCTGTGTCTGCTCGCTTTTTTTCCAGTCAGCTGCCACTTAAGCTGGGCCAATTATCTTGGCCGTTTTGGCTGCTCAGAAGTGTCTGACCTAGCCCAAACGCTACTTTTTCTGCTGCCTCTTTGAAATCTCACACTCATGCACATATGCACCCACTGCCATCTTCGTTTGGCAAGCACTGTGCTGTGAGCCTCTGATCTCAGCAACATCAAAAGGCTGGTTTGTAAGATAAGGTAATGTTTGAAGTTGGTGCAGCAGCATTCCCCAGCGGTCCAAGTAAATCCATAAATAAGATATAAGCAAAAAGAAAAAAAAAAAATCCCCCCCCCCCCCCCCCTTCTTCCGCCCCTTCTTCCACCCCCCCTTCCCAAATCCTCCTCTTGTTGTTCTTTATCTGGGAAATGAGATTCAAATTCGCAGTGTGCCTTTTAACCACTGTTAAAGGACACACTAATCAAATTGTTCTGTCGAATGAGAGGAAGAAGCTGCATTTTTTATTAAAATCAGTTAGGGGTGCGGAGAAACGAGACATGGGGACAAGGGCAGGAGAGATCGCTGTGTCAATGACCTTGGTGGGAACTATTAAAAGAATATGACTTTGACACATCACGGTGTTCAGCAGTGAATCTATTTTTCTTCTGCATTCCCCTAAACAGGTTCTGCAAGTCACATGTCAGAGCGACATCGTCAGGAAGAATCAGATACTGGAGCCAGGCTGCTGATATCACCCGTGTTGCAGCAAACCTTTTTGTAGGTGGAGCCTACTACCAAAAACAACGCTTCACAAACTGTCCCCTCGAGATTACAAGCCATCATCCCTCAAGGTGCAGGAAGAAACACAGGAAACTCTTCAAAAGTGAAACTTAACAGCCCAGAGGAACTTGAGCGCTAACAAGAACCCCAAACCTAGGGGGCAAAACGGCACAAAGCTCGCAACTTCCCAATCACTGACTATGTTTTTATCAATCCAAACTGTCTCCACCCTGGCAAACATGTGACGGCTGGGTGCTTTGTCCAGGTTGGGAAAGAGAAAACAGCCGTGGGCTCTTTCATGGTTTCATGGGCCCTTACTTTATGGGGATCTCCTATTCAGTTGTGCAAGTCATTTTCAAAGCAGCCAGCCACCCTCTTATCCCCCTAAGCTCCCCTCACCTAACAATAGGCTGAAAGCGATTCAGTTAAGCCCTTTATACTCCGTGCACTTTATTTTCTCACTCCCTTGCACTTCGAGTCCAACCACTCCTGCTATTGGCTCCGGCGGGTGGAGGAGAGAGGCTGTGGAGGGTTGGGTGGGTGAGGTGATATTTTTTTGGGGGTGCCCTCGCCTGGCCAGGGGGAGTTCCTCATGCCTTGTCCCAAGGTCTAGAAATGAGTAACCCCTGTGAAAGCCTCACAGACACATGATCTCAGCACGCCGCAGAGGCCAGTGGCAGGAAACCGACCCACCATGTGAGTAAGCCTCCTTTCATTTGGTGCCAACATTTTTCAATGAGTTTGTCTTGAGGCCCGAATGGCCATTTCCCTCCCCCTCTCCTCCAGCTCTTCAAAGGGAAAAAGCGATTAGATAATATGAAAAAAACAAGTCTGTTGTGGCAGAAGGGTGGGTGGGATAGATACATTTCAACTTTGAGGAAAATGAGGCAACGCCCCCACCCACATCAAGACGTTCTCTCTCTTTTTTCACCCTTCTCTCCAGCCTGCAACGCATCAGAATAAACTTCAAAAGGTCCTAAGACATAATGACTTCCCCAGAGTTGTCTCCCTGGAGGCCACAGTAACAACTACACATTAATAGAATTACCTGGAGTCAATCATAGAGGATAATTAAAATACATTACGGACCATTATTTCGCAACAGTGCAGCCCCTTGGCTTGAGGAAATGCTGACTCTGTTGGACTACAAGGCCAAATATTTTTCCTGGAAAGGTGTTGACTGAACCTTGGTCCAGGCACGTTCGGATACTATTGAAACAATAAAATTCAGAGCTTTGGCCAGGGTCAACTGAATGGAAATACGCCATTTAAAGTTGCTACGTAATCTGGGTTGAAATTAAACTGAGCAATCAACTTTTTGATTTCAATAACAACAAAAAACACTTACACACTACTGTCCGTCATGGACATGGAATCGTCCGTCGTAGCATCACTGGAGATCTCGCTGTCGTTGGCACTGGTGGCAGGGGCAAAAATGTAGCCGGAGTTGACAAAGTAGGGGCTGGCGGGGTCTCCTCGACGTAGGGACCTGCAAAAAAAGACCCAGGAATAAATTTGCCATGTCTTAATGTGATGTCCCTTTTGGCTGCTGTGTGAAATGAAGACAGTGGAGAGGTTTGACAGCTGGATAAAGTTTACTTGCTTTGTGTTTCCCGTTTCTGTTATTCATTTTATCAAATTCTTTAGATTTCTGCAATTAAAGTCACTTTCGTGAGACTTTTGAGGTCAGAGGAATGTGACAACAATATTAGAGATGGAGGTATGGGTTCTCTTTCATGTCCCTCCTCCCTCACAGGTTCACAGGTTGTGTGTTTGGGGGGGGGGGGGGGGTTTGGAGTGGCTGAAGTGAGCAGCCTGCCTGTGTATGAATGAACAACAGCATTTCCCTTCTTCTCTCTTGTGCTATCTTCCCACCCTTTTGTTTGGGCCAGGCCCATCCATACTCCTGCACTTTTCCCATTCTGAAACTCCACTCTCTCTTTCCTTGGAGTGTTTTCTCATCCACACTCTCCCACTTCTATCTCTCCCTCTCTCTATCATCCAGTCTGGGGCCCCTCCTTTACCCTGCTTTCCTTTCTAATGTCTCTCCCTCTCTCTGTCTTTCTACTCTCTCCTGCTGTGTTGCATTCCTGTTTCAGTAGTGAAGGGGGTGGACAAGGAAGAGGGGGGAAGAAGAGGAAGGGGGAACTTGAGCTTTAGAGAGGGAGGGAGAGAGGGAAAGGGGGAAGGAGGGCCCCTTTCTTTATGAGAATGCCTTCTGCCAGGAGTGCTGAGAGGAGAACCCCAGCATGACTAAAGCCGTAGGCCCCGAGCACAAACCTGACCTTTGGAAGGTCCGCGCAAAGAGTCAGGTATTTGGCACAGCTGGGCTCTCTGTACGCCCCCCCCCGCTCTCTTTCTCCATCTCTTTTCTTTCTTTCATGATCCTCCCTTCCTGTCTTTCCCCCTTCTCCTCCTCTTGTCTCTCCCTGTCTCTCTCCAAAGCATGCTTAGTCTCTGTCAGACAGATTATTTTTTCTTCAAAAAGCAGAGATAAAAGTGCTGGATAGAAAAGAAAGAGGAAGAACACTGAGACACGTGCACACACAATCTATGGCAAAGTGGGGATTGGTGGTTGAAGCTGCGGAACTGAGCTGAGGATGTTTTGTTGTTGTGTTTTTCAATCACTTTGGAGTTGGGCTTTGGAGGTTTCTCAGAAAAAGAGAGGAAAAAAGGAATCTGTGCAGTGGCAAAATTAGTTCCACATGTTTGAGATGGAAATTGGTTGACCTAAAGAGATGGTGAGGGGCAGGGGGAAAGCGCGGGTGATGGAAAGGAGAAAGAGGGGGCTCTCTCCCTCCCAATTTTCTTTCAGTAAAAAACAAGAATGCGGGGGATCACACCAGGAAACCAGGAGATGCCCACATGTCAACAAACCCTGTGCTTATTGGTTCCTAACTCAACATGCGCCCTTTCAAGAAAATGAGTAACTGTGCTATGATGTTATCTGACATCTGCTCACATGAAGGAAGAAATCATCAAGGGAGTGTTTAGGTTGAGTTATTAGACTTAGTCAATTCGGTTTTTTTTTACTCTGTTATTAAAATTATAATTTCCAGTCCCACTAAATGTTTCGTGAACTTCAGAAGGAAAGTATGGATTATCTATGAATTGCCCTTTTCTACCAAACCAAATCAACAAGACATTGTTCAACTCCTATAAGTAACAACTGCGTCCAGATATGCGGACAAAGTAGTTGAGTGAAAAACTTTTTAAGTGCCCTTTGATGCAAGCTCATGCATAAAATCCAGTTTTTGAAAATGTTCCTGGCTTGACAAGATTTCAGCTGTTGGACAATGTGTGGGACGAGCTCTCAGGAAACAGATCTGCTTTCATCTCTGACCAACAGAACAATATCGCCGCTTGGCAAAACACTGACTGCTTCAATTCTCTTAACTCTGTATTGGCAGTTATTTGGGTCAAAGAGATTGTGTGATAGTATACAATAACTATATGGCTTTGGAGTAGAAAAAACAACACAAAAAAAACAGCATGACTTTAGAATAGCATCACACTGTTTCATGTAGCTTTAACAGACATGAGGCTTGGTGTCTGAATTTGTGCCTGAACCGGAGGAAGGGTTTCAAAGCACAGGAAACTTGGGCAAGCCAGCAGAGGGCTGCCTGCAAGACACCATTTACTTAAAAGGAAGGCTCAGATCCATTGATGTTTTTTACCCACCCCGCCCCTCCACCCCTCCAACCCCTTGACTAACTGCAAGGCAGGAGGGCACAAATACACAGGCATGTTCCTCTGAGACTCTTTGATCAAGTGCCTTTATCTCTCTCTTACGCATTTGTGAAAACTGCCACATATCCACTGTAGTTTAACTAACGAAGGAATCACGAGGAGAGTAAGCAAGAGGCTACTAAAAAACACACACACTCACTAAAATGTAACAACACAGGCATGCATGCTCTTACCTGCAACTATTCTCCAGCACTTCAGCTGCTGTCCGGATGGTAGCAGTAGCCCTCAGGGTTTTCGCAGACAGTCCAACCACAGACCCTAACGTTTTTGCCTTCAGGTCATTACAACTCCACTCCTCTTCCTCTATGAGAGGAGGAAGGTATCCGCACATCAGCTTGAGGCTGCCGAGGCTGCCGTGGTTCATGTACGCCGCGTTTTCGCAGCCCGTGCGCACGTATTCGAGGTATATGTCAGAGGTCAAAAACATCTGGTATGCATTCTCTTCCATGTTGGACTGGATTTCCGTCTGCGCCTGGTCAAACATGGCAGAGTCTATTTGTTGTTTCTTAATACTATCCCTTAGGAAGGTCTTGGTGGCGGGTTTCAGCTGCTTGGCGACAATGCCGTTGTTCTCGACGTACCGCTTGAAAATAACTTTGGCGACCCGCAACGTTTTGGTATCCTTTAAGTCCATTTGCCTGAAGCCGTTGCAGGCGAACCAAAAGTCCAAAGTGTCCACGCAATTTTCTCGCTCCAAAAAGGTCCTAAAGAGGTGAGCGCCGTCTTGGTCGCCCAGGAGAAAATGCAGAGACTTTGTCCACCGGACTAGGGGCGAGTCCGGGGACGCGCTGCCCTCTGGCTCCCCGAGTCCATCCTCGTTCCTCCGCGGTGTGGAGCCGGGAGGCGCGGCGGCGGGAGTATCTTTAACCTTGCTCTGGGCTCTCATTTTGGCAGATCTGCTGGGGTTGTAGCATGACGCCTCTCCCTCCTCCCCCGGTACCGGAGGACGAGGAGCATCTTCTCGGAAGCTACTGCTGATGTGCTCCGTAAGCGCCCTGCTCATGGCTCCAGCTCCGGTTGCCTGTGCGAGAGTGCCGTCGTGCCTCCACTGAGCTCCAGCCTAATCCTCCTCACTCTCTAAAAGCAGCGGGGGAGCTTCTCAGCTCCTCTTCACTCTGAAACACAAAGTATTGATCTAATCAAAGCCAGATCCTGCTGAACTTCAAAGAAAGACATCAAGTAAACAGTCCCTTTCAAAAAACCCTCGCCGGGTTCACAGAGAAAGGAAATATGAAAGGCTCTTTTCGTTTCATTTATCTATTTATAATCTAAATGAGAGATCAACCTACATTCTCAACGTGCATTGATCTGTCACATCAAAAATACATTTTACAAGAGTAATCATCTCACACAGTCCCATTCTTCACCAAAAACCGCATTCTCACAACTGTGGCTTACACGTGTTTTCCTAACGAGTCCATGTCACAGGCTTCAACTCCAATTAATTCCCAATCTGTTTCGGACGACCGTACCCTACCCCTCTCTGTATCACACACACACACGCACACACAGAATCGTTTCCACTCGGAGCCCACACTTGTCCTCACCATCCCAGAAATGTACAGACAGAGTGGAAATGCATCTGATCTGCACCACAATGACCTTAAACGTATAGTAATGCACGAGGGATAAAAAGCCCCGCGGGAAAAGTCAGTCGCTCATGCGTAAAATGTGAGCGATCAATCGCCTTAATGCTACCCAATTACAGGACATTATTAAAGCCATAGCTCCGGTAACGTGTCTGAAATACCAACGCGGCAGAAAGACTCGATATGTTAAAACTCGTATAGGAGCTGAATCTTTTTTATTCGGAGCCTCAGCGCCAAATGTAAAGAGACTTGTAACCTTAAACGGACACGCAGCTAATACGACATAAACTGTGCGGTTTGCGGTCACAAATCCTCAACAATATTTCATACAGTCTCAAAGTCTCTACATCATAATATGACCGATTCTAAAAACCCAGTGGATGAAGCGTGCGTAAAACAAACCTACCATCGCAGAGCATATCCAACCAGAGTAAAAACCCGTTGAAAAGTTGAACTATTCCTCCGTTTACAGTAGAGTCTAATACAGTCCCAAACTCTCGCATCAGTAATCCAGCACAACACAAAGCGACAAAGGACTATTTAAAGCCTTCGTTGTGCCACATGTGTCCTATCTCGCTGCAAAACAAGCTCTGTAGTTTGATGTACCCTGTCCCATTCAACAACTGACCTCAGAGTAGGCTGGCTCAGTCCCTATGTAGATCATCGGTGGTGTCAAAATCTGGAGGAGGTAAAAGAGGAGGTGGAGGGGGGGCTCCGGGCTCCGATTGAAGAATACATCCCACTTTTTTCCCAGCTAGAAGACGCACCACCCGACAAAATATTCGTTTTTTTATCTGAGCTACACATTCATACACACACATACACACACACACATAAGCTTCTTATCTATCTCACCGTATTTCTCGCCCACAAACAAGAAACATAGCCCGCATTTCTCAACTTCAAAGCTCAGCAGCAGCACATCAAAGCGGCCAAGAGAGGGGGCCTGTGGAACAGCTTTCCGACAACTTACCATCCATGTACCCGAGTAGCCTCCCTTTTTGAAAACGGGAAAGTAAAGTAGTCCAACAACAGGCTGTGCCTGTAACCACTTCGGCGTTGTCCTCTGCCCTGTACTGTCCTATCACACTGGACGATTTTTGTATACAGATGCAAATAAAGGGAGAGAAACGTTTCGCCCTCGACTTTTTCTCCTCAGGTAGTGTTTCAAGAAGTCATACAGCAGGCGGTATAAATCCTCGGGGCTGTTTCTAAACCAACTGGGCTGAAGGTTTAACTGTGGACTTCAAAGTAACGAACCGCTGGCCTGGTCCCGGAAGATACATAAAAACACAGCGCCTCGTCTTCGCGGCAAACCAACGAAATAACACACAAATAAAACGAACTAGAATACAGATAAATGAAGGGAAACGGCTACACATTATAGCATTTGTCCGCTCAACTGTCCCTCGTTTGCAACCCCATGCGTATAGACGTTCATTAACGTTTCATAAACTTTTCAAGACAGGGAAAGGATTTACATGTATGCCAGGACCTTATCAAAGACAGGCAATCTCGAGCCAACTCCCCGAGGCTTTGGAGCGTCAGAAGTAAGTGATCTACCGCGCCAATAGCATTATTCTTACAGTCCGTCTGTTACTACACAAAGTTTCAATAGAAACACAAAGCAAACAACAGCGATACTTGTGTTGCCTCTGGCCTCCATCGACAGAAGGGAGTTTAGTGTGTTCACATAGCTGAGGAGAAGCCATTATGATCGGGTGAACTATATACATTTTACAGTTCATTCAGGTATTTATCTCCTATTGTACAGCAAGATATTTCTTTCTTATTTCTTTCTTATTTCTTTATTGGGTTACAAAGAATAGGGAGTTTGGGCGCATTATCCTCATGTAATTCAAGTAATATTCCATTTTAATTACAAAAGTAGCAGAGTAAGGGGAGTGGCAGTAAAGAATGTGTGTTTAAATATAATTTTACAATGTCCACAATGATTCAATACATTTTCTTAAAGTTTTAGCACTGGTTTGATAATCCTGTATAGAGTGTAACTGTCAAAAAAACTTACATATTAGTCACAGGCTTTTAGCCACAAAGATGTCAACCTAACACACTTGCCAGTTCCACATTCAGGGAAAATGGCACAGCATGACATTTTGATTGAAATTGGACAGAGAGCAAAGGCAAGAGCTGTTCTCTAGTCTTTTAATTCACATGACTTCCCTAATGTCATTGTGACAGAATCTTAAAGAGTGGGTTAGACAGTGATCCAATCCCATGGTACTTCAAAGGCTATATTGTCCCTTTGATGTTGAAAATCAACTTTAAAGGAGAATATAATTATATAAGTCAGACGATTCAAATTCACAAAACTCTCATGATGGTACAGGACAAGGAAACTAATGAAATCCAACTTATCTGAGTTCCTCAAGTGGTGATTCATTCATGCTGAGTTATACATAGCGGAATAAGCATGCAGTGTAGCAGTTCCCATGTAGATTTATAGTTGTGTCAGCATCTTTGTCCATTTGTCCAAATCTGGACATTCGGCCACACAGTATGGAGTACAAATATGGACTGACCATGGACCCTCATTATTTTCAATTTAGATACTCAATAATTTCTCACGGCATCATGCAGCCAACTTGTACATTGTAGTTCTGACACATGTTGCTGAGGAATTTTAACACACTCCAGCTTTCTTATAAAAATGCACAATAGCAAGCCTTTCTTGTTTTCTTGGTAAAGAACAGGAGTCTAGCTGATTACATTGACATCCTGCCAACCACTTCCTGCATGCTGTGAGCTTGTCTAGTGATTCAGTCCAGCCTATTTTAAATGTAAATCTTTTAAGAGATTTTCATTGCAAGGTGTTATCACAAAGCCGTTTGATGGCAGACAGTGGGGTGTCTTTCTCTGTCTCTGTTTGTGTGCGCGCATGTATGTGACAGAATATGAAGAGGTAATTCATAGCCACTGTTTATACAGGAGGGCTGTGTAAAACAAACATCGCTGCCACAAATCCAAACAATCCAGCACCCAAAATGCACAAAAAGCTTCCAACACTTCGCAATGGGAAGTGCCCGCTGTCTGCGAGATGGAACACAGAATCACAAAATGGGTCAGCAGCGCTCGCCTCATGACGTTGAAGGGGCACTGCGCTTATCGGCGAGGATCAAATTAAAGCAATGAAATATGTAGCCATACTGTTATCTGCACACTAACTTCTTTAAAGTCAGCTTTGAAAGGAGAATTGAGATATAGAGGGGTTATAAAATGTAATTTTTGAAGTGCAGGACAATCTTAAAAGTAAGATATTTCACATTCGGGATAAGACGTTATCTTCACTCAAATTAAATTAGGCCGCACATATCACTGCAAAAGAAAAAAAAAGGAGTCCACAGTTTAGTTTTTGCTGACAGGCAGGAATCTTTGTTCATGCTTTGCTCAGTCGGCTTCCAATGACAAGCAAAGATCAGACTATTCAACTATTGGGGATGCTTTTGTTTTTAATGCATTTCTACAAACAAAACTGTGATCACCAAATCAACCAAAAATACAAATTGCATGTCTTTTTTTTTTATCCATCTGGAAAGTGTCATGAGACGCCAAACCCATGGGACCACACCTGTTGACACTTGAATGCCCACTCTTGTGTTTAGCAGTGACAAAAGAGAGAGGGTGCTGTAAAGTAGCCACAAGAAGCCCCTTTTTGATGTTGACCCTGCCCTGACCCCTTTGTTGGGGCCCTAACCATTTCACAGGAAGATCCAAACGCTTTAAAAGTACAATACAGGACGAGAGTGCCGCCACTGACTTGCTAGAAGCCCCAATAAAACAGGGTGACCTGGAGGCTAATTGAGAGCTCGTGGTTGGGAAGAAATTAAAGGCATCTGCCATGTCACCACAGATTGGAAACGGAGAACCCCTTTAATTAGAGCCTGCATTAAAAGCGCAGAGAAAGTAAGCACTTCACTTCTCTCAGGTGTCACAACAGGATATATGGAAACCGACAGAGGAGTTTAATTATAGTAGTGTGTAGGATTGGGTCTGTTGGAAAAATCTTCTTTCTTTCTGTTAGTTATTGTACTGTAGACATGTTTGGATTTTTGCATCAGTAGATGAATCAGTCAAACAGAAGGCCTCTCCCCTCTTTTGTCGCTTTTTCGTAAAAAAAACAAAAACGTTTGGATTTGCATCCCATCACAGACCATGGTATATGTTCCCACAATGTGAACAATAAATTCTGTACAGGCCGCTTTGTCGCCCCTTCCTCCTCTCAAATCCTACACTTGCGCTAAAATAGCACAGAAAAACAGAAGAGAGGGTGGCTAATTGCAAATAACCCAATATTTTGTAGTTCAAAGGCTGTGGTGGGTTTGAGTGATAATTTTGGCTGAAGCATCACCATAAACACTAATAAAATTAAGTGCGTCGAAGGGAGGAGGGGGTGTGGCCAGGCATCCCTTTGAACAGACCCTGTGATCAGTTCCCCCTCTCAATTAGCGTATTGTCCACTTGTCCTTTCAGCTGGGAGGGAGGGGGCAGTCTCCCCCCCTAGCTTC